ATATGAAATACTTGCCTTCATAGCTATTATTCTGGAAATTTCTGATCTTTCCCCCCTCTTTGAACTTTGGAATTATTCTTAGGTTCTGCATCTGGCAAGGATCAGTTCCCATTTCTTTCTACCATCATAGTGGCCGCTGACAACTGGTTTGCTCCAATTATAAACATGCCTTGGGAACCAAGCCAGGACTGTTGGGAGATTTCTTGGTATGAAGAGATGGGACAATTAAGAAAGGTACCTTTGGGGCATTGTCATTATTACTCCAAGCTTGCTTTCCAAATATTCCTGGCAGAATCTAGATTTTTGGAATAGAAACTAAATCAATCAATCAACCAATCAATCAATAATGAGACGAGTGAAGAGAAAAGGAAATCTAACTCATTCTAGTATACAACAACACTGTTCACTCTACTTCTCATCCTGGTTTTCACCATTTTTACACACTGCTTCATACTTTGCCTTATGGTCTTTGAACTTCAGACCTCACTCTTTCTGAGGATCTCAGTCCAGCCATAACTTTCTCAGTTCGATTATTTAGTTAATCTTTTTTTTTTTAAGAGCAAGATTACAGTGTAGTCATTTTCTGATTGCTCAGGCCTAATTTACATCATGACTTGATGATCATGACAGAACTTGATTCATAATTCAGTCATAAAATATCAGAATGCTGCCGGGTACAAATCTGGCCATTGCACTTTCCTGGAGAATTGGAGATTGTATACAGAGATTGGTAATATTCTCAGGAGATGTAGTTATGCATCTAAGATTCCAAATATAGGAATCTTAGATTTTAGAATTCAATCAGTTTGCAGGACATCTGTGATCATTTAAAGATCGTAAATTGCTCTTGGTATTTTTCTTGTTCTTATAGAAGGCCATTCAACATTTTTAAATTATGCATTTCTTTTGTAATAGCAGCTTAAGCTGCAGTCTTTGTGGGAATAATCATGGTGTTCAGCTGCTTGCAACTTTCTTCTCTTTATGTAATGCAGAATACTTAGTAAACATGTAGTAGTAGGATTATATTCTGCTTATACCTTGAATACTCAGGCATTTGTGACATCATGATTGTCTGCTTCAATTTGTGGAATGCGTGACTATTTTGAAAAGTTTCCAAAACCTCTGGTTGGGGTAGTATGAGGCAGTACACAATACCAAGTTCACCATATGGACTTTTTGAAAGATCTGGACATCTGAAGACTGCTTGTCTCCAATTGTTTCTGCCTGCCCAGTGCATTCTGACAGAGTGGGTGAATTCTAGGTCCCCTCTATTAAACGTTGTCACCTTGTGGGACCGAGGAAGCATGCCTTCTTGAATGCAGCCCCAATCCTCTGGAAGAGCACACCCAACCACACCCCATAGCTAAGGGCAGCACTCTCTTTCCTAGGGGTCCAGAAAGCTCTTAAAACCTGGATTTGGTCCCAGGCCTGCGGTTCATGTATGAATGTATGATTCCCTTTTTGGGGCTCCTGTTTTCTTTGAAATCTGTTTTTTATAATAACATTTTCATCTGGGTTGTCTGCGTGGTGTGATGTTTTATCTGTGTAATGATATGTGGGAATAACCTTGGGAGAAAGGAGGAAGAGCAGCAGCCTGGTAAATGGTCTGATAGGCGAAATCTGAGGCTGAAGTAGCTGATGGAGAAAGTGTGTCACAAGTGATCCTCCGTAGTTCTGGGGAGAGTAAAAGTAAGAGTTGGAGAGCTACTTTTAAACTTGCAAGATTCTGTTACTATAACCTTACAATAAATGTAGTATTGGTTCTCATGGTAGGTGGTTCTGGTCTGGACTAACTCAAAGGGCTGACAATATGGTTTTATGGATTTGTTTGGTTTGGTATGCCACCCAGAGTCCATTGGAGCTGGGCAGCTTATATATTCAAATAAAGAAATGAATGACTCTGGACTGATGTTAAAACATTGATGTTAATACAGTATGTTTAAAGGTGGCTGTTTATATTGTGAACATCCTTTTATTTAATCATCCACAAGAGAGGTTCTTCTAAAGATTATTCTATCTTTTGAAGTTCATTGGGCACTCATCATCATTTGGTATTCATTATGGTATCTATTTCATACTATAGGAACTTCTTTTCACCTCCAGTATCTTTGCCTTAAAAGGACGTGGTGGCGCAGCATCTTAATGACGGTGAAAGCTGCTGGCCAGAAATGGGCGACACTTCAGTGTTTCAAGCCGAGCTCCACGCAGCAGAGTTATCTCCTGTCTCATCCCCAGCTTCTGCCAACCCAGCAGCTCGAAAGCATCCATGAGTAGATAAAGGGGTCCTGTCACCCCGGTGGGAGGAAAAATGCTGGCGGCGCCTTGCATGGGAGACGGGACCAGTTGCCGATAACGCGGAAGCCGAGAAAGGAGGGAAGAAATGCAAACCTATCCTCCTGCGTTCGCCAGCTGGGCTCCGCTCTAGCAAGGAGGCAATTGCAAACCACTTCCGAAACACTTTGCCATGAAAACTGCAGGGACTCATCCAGGCAGTCGCCGCAGAATCAGCCATTTTTTATTTTCAGGATAAAAAAAAAAAACTTTGCCTTTGCCTTTAGAAGATCACTTAAGTCATACATCTTTAGCTAGAACTTAAAGGAGAACACTTTCTCCATTTGTAATTAACCAAAAAAAAAACTTTGCCTTTGCCTTTAGAAGATCACTTAAGTCATACATCTTTAGCTAGAACTTAAAGGAGAACACTTTCTCCATTTGTAATTAACCTTCCTTCCTTCCTTCCTTCCTTCCTTCCTTCCTTC